CAATTCGGACTTAAGCGATTTTGGACTCACATTTCATGACATGTGTTCATTCTAAGTCATGAAAGACGTTTGGCTATAAAAAAAAATGTGGATGTTTTGGACGATTAAAAGAGTTCTTCGAGTCACGTTCTTTTGCCATATGCCGACAAAGGCGTGATTCTCAAATGTGTGCTCTACCATAGTGAGATTATAACACCCGGGAGATTGCCTGGTTCAGCTTAGCGCGGCGCAAATTGGATTTGCCGTTAACGCCTTTTTCATAAGCGCGACACTTTAGGGTACAAATATGGCGCGCGGCGAGCGTTTAATGCGCTTTTGTGAGACCGCATTTTAATCGTATATTATGAGAGCTGTCATAGAAATTCTGCTCTAATCGCTTCTATCATTTCTTGATTTGAATTGTTTGAAAAATCAGAAAAACACATGCTAATTTTGAGATATTGTTCGGGTTCATGGTGGGCCATAGTTGCAATTTTGCACAGCAAACCCAAAATAATAGATCATGAAAATTATTTATTTTAAATCTCAAAATAATCCTGAAAAGCCGAGATAGCCAAATAATTCAAGAAATATTTACCAAATTTAGCAGTGTATATTATATATAGGATCTGTGATGATAAAAACTGCGCTCGAAATATAATTCGTTGTCTGCTAAATTCAATATCAAGAACATGTAATACGACCAAAAAATTCTGGCCTGACTTTCAACCTTGGCGTGGATAGGTATATATATATATACAATGTCTAACTCAAATGCTAGAAAAGCAGAGAAGATTCATTTCGCATCTCTTCTGTCTTAGTCGCTTTTCGCGTTAAGTTCGGTGACAGATTTGAGCCTTCTCTGATTTAGAAATTGGAAACAAGAATGTCGTACAAAACATATTTAAAAATTGAGCTCAATACCCGTTTCGCACGTCCAAAAAATCTTATTCCGAAGTTCAAGATATGAGTGAATTAGTAGAAACCATAAATCAATAACCTTGCAATTAGTTCAACTTTAAGATATACTTGGAATTTGAAATTATGAGTGTCGATTCAAAACAAGGTCGAAGTGTTCAACCATTTTACTATACTCCTCTTTAGTGCCATCGATTGAAATTGATGAATTCACAAGAAATCAATCCAATTGAAATATTTTGATTTTTGATATCCACTTCTCCTGTCTTGATTAGATATAAATATTGTGTTAAAAATTTCAAAGAAAGATAAAATAACGTACAGATGCAGCCGATGGTCAACTGAACTTTTCTTTATTTTCCATGCTGTCGTCTCAAGATGAAGTTTTAAGTTTCATGATTTTAGACAAATGCAAAATTACCCTCGAGCTATCGTTCATTCTAAAATTTATAATTTACGAATGAAAAACTCAAAAACTGTAACCGTTCTTGAATTGTAAAGAAGGAACATCTGATTAGCATATACCAATTCAAATATATTTATGCGTGGCCTGAATGGCCCATGCATTAACGGATGAAAATTCGTATGCCATATTAGGCCAACTAAAACCTATCTCGCGAAAAGAAGAAATTTGATTTTGGAATAAAATTAAACTGAATTCCAAATATCTATCAGTTTTTACTTCAAATTAATCCACCTAAAAGATTTCATTTTTATTTCGCAATTTTCTAGAATTAATGATTATAGTAAGAAAAATAATATTAATTTATCCCTGGGGAAACAAATATTTCTAAAAAGTCTGGCAGTGGTTAAAATAAAATTTCAGTACGAGTTTTCTCATTCATTAGCCGATACGCACAATTAGTCAAAAACGGCAAGCGATCTGTCGAAAGACGAAAAATAATTTTGCGGCTACAATTTACACTGTAAAAGGATCGAAAAATATAATGAAGTTTTACAGTTAATTTGAAACCCTACAAATTTCCACATTTTAAAGTTATGCAAACAATTAATTTATGTCCCTCGAAGATAGTTTCGAAAACAATTTATGAAACAACTGAAGTTTTTCCTCTGTATTATGGCTCTGACTGGCTTTCGAAGAGATTATTCGAAGAACGGCTGGATTTATATATCTAACACTTTTTTTTTAAATGTTACAATTGAAATTAAGAAGAAATTTGGCAACATCAGCAAACTCAGATTCAAGTGAATTTGGTTATTTAAAATAGAATGTCTATTAATTGGAGCTTACGCTAGATTACCTACATATAATTTTTATCTATGAAGGAGAAGAAACGTGACAGAAATACATTGCTCTCAACGTTTAGAAGACTCCTTAATCACATAAAATAAAAGATTTCATAAACTGAAAAAACAACAACAACATTGCCATGCACATTTTAAACTACCTCATGGTCAGCCCAATTTTCTAGGATTTTCTACGGGTGATTTAAGGTGACAAATTTCATGACATATACAAACATTAATATTTTTACTTTGTATCCGTAAGCATATAATGCAATGATGCAATATTAAGTGTAAAAAAAGTCTATGACATTATATGCAGATGAAACGTTGCAGAAATACATTTGTGTTAGTGTTCAGAAAGACTTTTGAATCACTTAGAATAATTGGGATTCAATTCCAAAATGACCTTTTTCAGAAAACTTTCTATTTTAATAAGATATTATCAAAAAAATAAAGATGAATGAAAATGGTCGTTTTTATTATTTAGTTTTAACTATTTTATCAGGTTTCCAGTTAATTTTATCAACATATTCCGTGTGTAAAATATGACGGGATAAATTTTTATAAATAGATGAAAATCCCAGATTCTTTGATTGACAAGCAACTTGTTTTTTAGCGATTGCCGTTCCCCACCCCTGGCACCCAAGGGAATCACGGTCGGATTCACTAATGCTTTAAATTAATCACTTCTCGTGGCAAAGTCGTCGAAATATAAATTGCCTGGAATCATATAGGTTTATGGAAAGCAATACTCCAATCTAGTAAAACCGAAGATATGTTTTGATATGACCAGGCATGTTTTGTTGAAACGAATTCGCAGTTTTCATCGATGGCGATTTTAGTTTTCCTCGAAAGTCATGTACCGATGACGGGGTCGCATCGAATAATATTTTTTTTCTTTTCGTTCAAGCTAATCGCTCGGTCGTTGAATTGGTAAATGCTCCCTGTGATTTAGTCAGCCTCGATCGACTATCTGCTCTAGAGTGAAACCGCGTCGGACTGTACGACTCTATAGTTTGCCACATAAATACTTCACAGTCTGTGCAATTTCTGCTTCAGATATGAAGCGTTGAGGGCGGCCTATATGGCAACACACGGCAATTAGGCTAATTTTCCCTGAGCGGCAGCGCCGAGGCGTGAAACGCTATGCAAAATATTTCAGTTGTATATGAGATTGACAGCTAAAGAATAAGTGACCAAGTATGTGCCATAAACAAATAGCATTAAGCGGAATATCCGGAGTGGCGGGCCTTACAAGAACGAGGTCTAATCAGTGGCACACGACAGGTCGTGACGTCACAGTCCCATGGGGATTGTCCCAGCCGATTGGTCTTCTGTCATTACATGCTGTTGCTTGCTCTGGGGTTTGTTTGTTTGCGGGTGTTTTCGATTTGTTATTTTGATCTATGGCTTCGTTTCCGTGCCAATTGACGACAGATGCCTCGCCCGTTAACATGGCCTGCGTCCCTCGGTGCATGTTACGTCACCACCCTTTTCAGTCACCTTTAGCGCCAGGAATCCTGCTGAAGACTATGTTACCGTTGATTCTAGTTTATTAGTCCAATACATACAAAAATTTTGGAACTTGTGTATTCAAAAATTGGAATTATTTCTTGTGATCAGAACCACATCAGTTCAAACTATCGGTCGCATCTAAATCTCATTTAAAATATCTTATAAATTAATGGCAATTAATTATAACATTTAATGAAATTATATATATATAATACTGCTTCAATAAACATTAAACCACTTACAAATAAAATTATCTGACGACAGATGAAGAGAGTACATAATATGTTGTGCGAGAAAGCGTTGTAGTGAAATTTGAATTTGAACAAAATTAATTTTAGATTTCTTACACGAAGTATAAAAAACATGAATTTTGTGTTCACAAAAATATAATCTGATCTTCATTGATATGAGTCTTACTCAAGAAAACCAAAAAGCTATTTTATCTGTTGGAGTCACTTTAGAATCAGACTATAAGCGAATTCTATTAGAGTAGATGGACTTCATTTTGAAGGCCATAGAATACGGTATAGGAAAACAGAATAAGCTTTATCAAATTTGAAATACATGCCAGTTGTACCAACTTATAGGAAAACCTACTTTTGGTTTAAACTTGAAACTCTCCCGTTAGGCAACGTGTTATACTCTTCAGGTGATGGTTGGGCTGATTACCGCACTAACCAAAATTTAAGCGATCCACGTTGTGCCTGACTATGATGGACGCCATATAGTTACAAAGCCAGATTTTGATATGATAATATGTAAAATTTGGCAACACATATTGCCCTAAATAGGTAACGTGGAAATCATCTACACAAACTTAATTAAACAGAATATAACCTTTAATAAAATATAAATCCACTCATCACAACATGCAGTTCCGAAAATAAGAACTTTTTAATTTAGTTAGCTATTCAAAGCACAGTGCCCACTTCAATTGCCAAGTAAGGACTCGCTTCTAGATACGGACTCAGGCCGGTCTATAGATTGGCTGTATTTTATAAAGTAAGCTATCAGTATTCCTGGAATTACTTTTATTTGTGTATTTATGAGAATTGGCGGGTCAAATATTTTTTGAAAACACCCACTAGCATATAACACCGCACCAGACATATTTTGTTTATATTTTTAGAAAACCACTTTTTAGCATCAGAGAACAATTGGATTAATTTCACATACCTAATTTAACTATAATTTCAAATGACAATTTACCGAAAAAAACGCTTTTGAATATTGGGGTAAAAAATTCAATTTAGCTAAATATATACTGCTATATGAAAATCTGCAACTATTCAAAGATATTCTATTTTATTCTCCGCGACAGAAAATAGAATTAAACAAACCTGATTTTTTGTCTCGCGCTCTTTTTTCGCTTTCACTCTCTATCACCACACGAACAATTAGTCTAATTAGTTCCTACCTTCCAACCTCAAAAGCGTCCGATAAAACGGTTAGCAATCCATTAGGCAAATTACTCGCTTGTAACCAAGATCCGTCGCTTCTCGACCTCGCTCTTTTAGGACAGTAAATCCCCTAACAACTCTACTCAATATGACACGTGCGATGTTGGAAAGTAAGTAATATTATCACATCATTTGTCGTTGGTGTATGCACTTAGACGAAGTAGTACTTTTACAAGCGATGACGTCATAGTTGATGATGTTACTGGCTTGTATGTCAAAAAACTTTTGAATGTTTTTAGGCTATCCAGCTCGATTGAAAACTAAAAAAGGAAATTGCATTCGCAAAACAGCATAAAATAAAAAATAAATTTATCTCGATAAAAAAAAAATTTATGATTCATTCCATAATTATGATGCTATCTAATGTATTCTGAAACCGCGACATGATAAAGTTTTTCGCATTACAATAGTTAATTTGTTAGTGTAATACACTTATCAAGTGTCCAAATCAAACAAGTACTGTATGGCAATATTGTTTTCATAAATTTATTTTGACGAAATAAATATCAACCGACATAATTGTTCTTAATCGTTACAATGTTATTGAAGTTTTTTTACGTCGATATTATGACACACGCACTGATTAATTTTAATGATATTTTTATGTGAGATTAGTTTTGTTTGCCTACATTAAGTACTCGGGTTTGCTACGGAGCTTCTACATATGCCCGTTCCCACTAATAATTCTAACAACACGTATAGATATCCGTGTGATGATTGGGCATAAGTTATTTTAATTATTCTGAGTTTCGAGTAAAACACTGGATGGCAGAAGAGAGCAAAAATACCACTCTTTGAATTTAAGACTGTTTATATTCTGTCAAGAAGCCGGACATTATTGAAGATGTGCTTAGCCGCCGGCGCGTGTTCGAGTTGCAGAAAAAAACAACAACAGATTGACCATTGAATGAAGCAAAAATAGAAGGAAAATGACATCTTCCAGCAAATAATTTTATTTATACTACAGACAATTGTCCATCGTCTGAACGAACTATCATCTAAATGCCCCATTACAACGCATTCCCAGTAATTTGATCTTCCAGACTGTGTTTCAAATGGTCCAATTAGATAAAAGTTGCCGAATAAATGTTAAAAATAAAAACGAGTCAAAAAATCTTTTTCCGCCTCAGCATTGATAGCGCTGGTGCGTATTTCTCTGGTATTTAAGCTTCTCTGGCGTCTTGAGTTCCTAATACAGTCTCCCAATGCAGAAGATAATATAACACTTCAAAGACGGATTGACAAAATCACCTGCCTGGAAACAATGATAGAATCTATACCCCAGATGGCGATTGCAATGTACGTGATATTATTGTGCAAAAAAGAAGAAAATATATTTTACTACATTACGCTGATCATTTCTTTTTTGTTCGCAACTCACGGTGTCACTAAAATGGATGACCTTTTTAATCAGTTTAGTCATTTAATAGATTTTTCGAAACTTTTTAAGTGTAAATTCTAAAAATGCCGAAATTTGGTAACATGTGAATTCGATAATACCAAACTCGAGCAAACTTGGATTCATTACATTTTTATATTCTTTATTGAAGGATATTCGCTTGCAGCACGGATACTCATTATAGCATTAGGAGCCCTAGTCCTAGGCTGGGAAATCATATTCCTTCCCTTACTTCCATCCGTTACTTTGTTATTTTTCGCAATTTTTTACATGGGTTTTGCCTTCTGTGATTGTAAGACAATTATGCGACTGTTTTATTGGGCTGGCATCTCACTCATTGTTTGCCCGATATTTGCGTTTATATGGCTTAGCTTTCGACCGCTGTACACCCTTTTATTTTCGATATTGTACGGATTGGTAAATTTAAGTTACGTATCGTTGGTGTTAAATCCTATAATAAAGAACTCCACTTTCTCAAATTTAACCTATGACTTCATGAATGCACCTAACGATACAAACTTGAATTTTCCCGCTGCTGGAGTCAACAACGGAACATATTGTTTCACGAACGATATTATGAGTGCTCAAAATGATTTGAACATTGCGTCAATATTGCTAAGTATTGTCTATTTCATAACTTGGAGAATATTACAAAGAAATTGAACCAGCGCAACTCCATCGCCTGCTTAAAGATGACTAGTTGTATATATCTGTAATGAAAGAAGTTGCAGCAAAAACACTTTGTTTATGATGAATGTTTCGTATTTATCCTTGTATATTTAATATATTCAATGTAATTCATTGTGTATATATAATATATAAATAAAGCATATTGAGAGTGAAATATTTTGTTTTTGCGTTGAATAAAACAGGAAGTTCTGGCTTCTTTACAATATGAGATACACAGTCCTGGTGCACAAAACTAAGCCAGTTATAAGCACCATTGAAATAATAATATAATAATAATAACAATATGAGATAGAGAAAAAAAATGTTTACTCGCTTTTCACTTTCATAGATTCGAAAGCAGTATTTTTCGTGCCTAAAACAGCTTAACCATAAGCCAAATCACAACTTGGTCGGTTTGCATACTTGGAATTAGTTTTGGTCATCTGAAATTGTTATAATGCCTGAATATAATATAATCGAAGTTTAACATAAAAAACGAATAAGCTATATTCCGTTGATTTCATGCCCCTTCCAAGTTTGAAGTTTGCAATGGACCTTATTCCAGAAAAAAAAGTCGCAAAAAGTATTCTTTTCTGTTTTTCAAAGTACTCTTACCTATATACATATATATGCTTGGATATCGGTCATCGAATAAGAACTAAAAAAACAGATAGACTATCGAAAAGCAGCAATGCAAAAGGATAGCGCTTTCCAACAAATAATTGTTGCAGCCTATTGGAAAGGGCTCATTTCAAAATTTCATACCCGCCTGTAAAAGACCATATCCACCGCACATCACTTCAAATTAACAATTATTTGTCATTCAAATGGATTATCATCCACACGAAATTGATTGTTTCCATGCACGTTCATATTTGCGCAAGCCCACGTGGCTGGTAATTACCAGTAATTACCAAAAAATATGGTTGCATCATAGTATGACGTCACAAAGTTTTTATTTTCAATTGCTCTTCCCTCAAGGAAATTGTGCTTGACGCACACCGTTTGTTATACGTTTTGTGGAATCTTTAAACGATATTTCTTGGAAGAAAAAATTGAGTAATAGTATCTTTGATCTGTTATTCAGTACAATATTTATGTTTTTGTTTCGCCACTAAAATCTTTTAAATTGTTTTTATTTAATCAATGCAGGCAACTTTATTTATAGCCTGTAAATATTTTTGCTTTATTAACGATTCCTAAATTATTCCATCGCTATATAAAAACGCCGCAGTTCAGGTAGAGGCGTGGAAATAATGAAAGAGTCTCATTCTCTCGGTACATAATATAATAACAATAATAATCATGTTTTTTTATTGTAAATATTCACACACTTTCACATTAAACACGTTTATACACAAGCAGCCATTGATATACTCGAGACTACTATTTTAAGAAGGTCGAAACGACTTTTAGTTATTCAATTTATTGTACTTTAGGTGAGAGAGCCATTGTCTTACTTAATTTTTTTCTCTAATTGTGGGTGGGCACGTATATATCGCAACAAAATTTTGTAGGCGTCGTAATTGATTTGAATAGAAATAAATAAATAGTATAACATGAATAGATTAACACATTCTTCAAAATATAAGTTAAAATCTAGCGACATCATGACGAATAAAATTCGACAATGCCCCTTTGTACGTGTCATAATTCCGATTTGCTTTGGAATTTGTGGGCGAGTGGTTGCCAGTTTTTTCTCTTCATCAACTTATGTAATTTATCGAACACACGCAAAAGCTCTGTTGGGAAATAAAGAAAATTAATTGAAAATTGCAAAAATGAAGAGGATCTTGTATCATCTTTGTCAAAATATGTTGGAAGTCCTAATTTGAAACAAAAAAACCTTTATATCTCCGTCACAAAATCCTCGTCAGCTTCGACAAGCAATATTTTGTATTATGAAAGCGAAGTATGATTGACTTAACTTTACTCTTCCAAAGCTCTACTGTAGAAAAACCTAGTCAATTGTGCTCGATTGAAACCCAGAAGAAAGAAAGAAGAAGATTTCATGAATTGATCTAGCATTGTGATGCATTATATATTTTCAACCAAGTCAAACTTAGAATATAAAAATGAGCTTTATCAGTAAACCATGAATAGTAAAACCTACTAAAATTTTTATGCCCAGCAGAATAGTGAATAAACTAAATCAGAATTACCAATCATGCAATATATGAGTTAGATAATGCACAAAAACTTGCAAAGTTCCAGAATCCTATAACATGCTTGAATTTTTAATATAGGTTGAATTTTGAGTATTTAAAATATTGATTCGTTGGTAAAAACAAAACCTATTCCAGGAAGAGAAACTAAGATTAAATGGAATGGAAGTTGCTTTTCAGGCATTTAACATGAAGTGATTGGGGCATTATATTACTGAGCAATTTTTGTATCGATACTACGTAATTCAAATTCCCCGTGGTATTGGTGCACGTTGAGGATTGAGTTCAGGTGTATACAATTGTAGTTGAAAGCAATAAAACACCTCCAGGAAGAGAAATTGCGATTAAATATAACAGGAATTTGCTTTTCTAACTTTATCCATTGATACAAAGAAACAATGAAAAAGCATATTTCTTCAGTCACAAACCTTTCATAATAACGTGGATGGCGAATTCTTTCTTAGGAATATAATTCTTGGTTGGTATTGTGTAGTTTTGAGTTAATGAGGACTGAGGCGATTTCTGCTACTCAATTTTGTGAAATTTCATTGAACGCTACATCACACGTATATAAAGAAAAACTTGCTTCAAAATATTTTAATATTAGAGGTGCATTCCGTTTTCTTCCAGAATTTAGCTAAATCCTTCTGCATGGG